TTTGTCTAACTCGTGCATTCTGTTGGTCTTCAGTCTGATTAATCATTAACGATCGTTTAGCTTATCAGGTTTCAAATCTGAAGCAGGAATGACGATAAAATAGTCTTGAATAGGAATATGATTCAATGTAGAGTATCATGTTAGAAATGTACTGATCCCATTTTCATTCTTTTGAATTTTTATTTCTAGAACTCGTGAAATGATTATAATAATATTGTTGTGTAGATGTTATTTGAACGGTATTGTAGGTTGAAAAAAATATAGTGGATTTTTTGCGCTTAAAAACTACTCAAACTACTCTGGGTGCTGTGCGTCATCCTAAGTGTTATTAAAGATACAAATATTTAAACCTACACGGTCACCACAGACATTAAAAACATTAGAAAGATCAAATTTTGGGTTTTTTTGGCATACTGCTTTTTCAATGTACCATTAGTTTATCCCATTTCTTGAATTTGTAAATATCTTAAAATCTTTTTAATCTTAAATTGTTTTAAATATGGTAGAATTCAAAAAACTATTGTTCACTTAATAGACGTGAATGAATGTTAAACACAATTTTTATGTAGAAATACCAGTTTGACGTGAACGTAGGAGAACATGCATTTGAAAATAAATCGTTGTCTCTCTTCGCCTCTTTCTAACTACTATATGAGTAATTTATTAAATGGATACGCAGAATAGCAGGCCTTATGGCCTGACTCACAAATAAAGATTTTTCGTTTTCGCCAAATGGGTCGAACCATGGGCTCCCATCGTGGGCAAATCCACCGGGGGCTTCATCCTTTGGAAAAATCGCGGTAGGTTGCACTTTACTTTTCTATTTTTCGGGATTCAAGCATTTTTAACGCTGATTCCCATAACTTACACACCATTAGCGTAGCTTAGCCCGAGGGGATGGAGCTGATAATTTGTGGATGATGGATGCATGATGATTCGATGATGATGATGATGAGTGATCAAATCACACATAGAACATTCCCCCGAAGCGGGACTCGAAACTCGCAATCTTCTTGGTCCGTTTACCGCTACGGCCACTACTGCCTTAAGCGTCTCTGTAATAGGATCAGGAGCATATTATTATTATTATTATTATTATTATTAATTATTATTTATTATTATATTATTTATTATTTTGCTGACTGAACCAGGCATGTATGCACCTTGCATTTACCGGGTCTCAGTCATCATTTTCGCGATGGACAGGTGCATGTAATTAATTGGGGACCAGCATTTTCTGATTCCAATTTTTATCCCCCGCAGGGGATATGGAAGATGAATGACATACAGACATACAAATACAGCCAGCCCGATGGCGGACTCGAACCGCGATCTCTGGTCCGAAACCACTATCGGCACTACTTCCCCCGCCTAAGCGATCTCGTCATCCGATCCGGCATTATCTAATAATTATATAATAATAATAATAAATATAATTATTATTATTATATTATTATTTAAAATCCTAATAAAAATGTTTACCTTTCTGCAAAACATTCGCTTCTAAATGTTTAGACTAGTCCATTCGCCTTACTTTTGACAAAATACGACCATGCGTCTCACAGCATTACGCATTTGAGATCTGTTTGTGTACAACTTTAAGTTTAATCATCGCACATTTAAATGCACTATAAAATCAGTATCAGTAATCAATAATCAGTATTGCACATTTAACTTTGATGATCTTACATATGTTAATAACTAGGAGTAGCCGATCAAAATGCACGGGGCGTAATCCAATTCAGTTATTGATAATCATCAATGATCCATCTTGTAATAATTATAATTAATTCATTACACCCGCGATTTAACTCATTGGTGCTCGCTTTCCATGACTCGACTCGGGGTTCGATTCCCAGTCAGACAAGATTTTAGTGTGCGTCTTCCTTGCAATGTCCCAGATAATTCATTATAACAAATAGTAGAACACAATTCAACTTTTTAAATCTTGAATTTGATATTTTTTTTCATTTCGAGGGCTTTCTTTATTATTAGTAGTTGGTTTTCAAACCGGTAATCCCAAGGGGGCCACGAAGAGATTGCTACTTGCGACTATTATCACTAGTTACCATATCCCCTTATAGGAATGAAATGTACTTCTGATATTTGTTAAAGTCGTTTAGGCGCACTGCGTTCTCGAAATCCAACAGTGTGTGAATTGAAAATTAGATACACTGAGTTTTGAGAAATCTTTCGAACTTTGCGAAGAGTCAATAAACTGTTGCGCATCAGGTACGCATTTCCCAATCTTCCTTTAGGTATTGTCTATTATATCCGTAGCTCAGATATCCAATAGTTTATTTTCAATTATTTTTGCTATAAGTAGCGTTGATGCTAACTGTAGTTATATGAAATGGGCCGCAAAGCAGTCTAAAAAAATTGTAAAACGACCGCCATTGACGAATTATAGTAATATTGTATTTTTTGACCCTCACACAAAATCAAGAAATTCGGCAGACGAGATCAGTGTATGGAAATCTAAGCTCTATTTTGCGAATTCAATTTCAATGAATCAAATCTAACCCATACTCTCCCAAAATGCGAAAGCGAATTTTCCCAGATATTACAATAGAACCACATAATGGCACGAATTTCCTATTTTTGAACTGAGAAAATTAATTTTAATTATTTTTACTATAGTCCACTGTTTAAAAATCACAAAAAAATGTTATAGAATGTTATTAAACACTTTCTAGGGGGGGGTAGACAGTACTCCAACGTTATTTCGTCAAAAGTCAGTTTCAAAAATTTATTAATTGTTTTCTTTTTGCATTTGGCGCCAAAGTTGATTGAGAAAAATATCTGCAAATTCAACAATTTTTCTCCGCCTCTCCACTTCTTTTTAGCCTGATACATGCAATAGAAGCTGAAAAAATAAAACATGAAAAACACGTTTCTCATTGCGTATCTGTTACAGATTGCCCTAGGAGGCTGATTTTTTCAAAATCTACAGCATTTATATACTCTTTCATATGAGTATCACGATTTTCAATTCGGTTTGGGGGCACTTTTCACTCCCCTTATTCGGCTATATCCTGTAAAGTATCAATCATTCCCTCAGAAAAGACTAAGAGGAGGCAGAAAGGTTTCATAGACTTAAATGCGCCAGCTACAACGGCGCATATACAGCTCCTTCCTAACAGCCAAGAGTCAAAGATTCTTTGTAGTACAAATTAAACGATCTCGGAGCATCTGAAACTCCGCCGACAAATGTTGGGCGGATGTCAAATGTTGAGCGTATTGTAATTATAAAATGACAAAAATGCTAAAAGTAATCACTCAGTGGTGGTATGTGGTAGTGCTCATTACCTTCTCAGGAACCAAAAATTTTCTGAACTGATATTTTTAGAAAATGTATGTTGGTTAATTGAAACTTAAGTTGATTCAAATAATATTGTTCGGTTTTCCTTGGGGCTCATATAAACACGAGTATCCTATCTTTCCTGTCTGTGAATATGTGCATTGGTGTTATGTTTAGGGCATGTAAAGATTCAACAGGATGTAAAGATGTTAACATGCGGGGAAATCTCATTCAATGCAATTACTCTTGCAATTTTGAACGTCGCTCTCCTTATTCTGTTATTGCACAGGTACACGTTCTCACTCACACTTTTTGTGACCCTGTCAACCTCCAGTTCAAGATGACTTGTCTTATTATCACAGGCACTGTGTTCATAATTGCCTATGTGTAACTTCGGTGTGAGTTTCTCAACTTCACATCAAATGATGTCACTGCTTTACCTCCTGATATGGGTGTTGTAAGCCCTAGTGCCGACGGTGGCAAGAATTTTGACAGATTCGTAGCTATTTCGAATTCAGTCGCTGGAGGAGAATCCTAGTAGCCGGCTGATCTTATCGGTAGTTTTCTGTAGTTTCCCCGATCAACGGCATGGGAATGTCGGAGCGGTACCCTAATAAACGGGCCACGGATCGCGCGCGATCTTGCCTTCCTCTTTCTTCTCCAATCCTCTCCCGTTACTTACACACTACCCGTTACGTACTGCACTTCACTACCACACATGCCACGAGAGCAGTCGGGAGCTTTAGTGCTTGTGCAAGGCTGGGGTGGTGCCGGGCCGATGGAAGATACCTGGTTGGGGAAAACTCCGCTAGCCTATAATAGTGTGACGTAGTGAAATAAGAAATAAATTTCAATAACAAAAGAAAAATAATATATTAAAAATCTATGTACCAAGTTACAATGAATTGCCTAATATTAAAACACTCCGGCAACCTTTTCCTTTCAGAAACACTGCTTACCGCAGAAAATACAAGCACGCGTGATGGCGCGGTTGTCGGACCTCCGTCGCCGTGACAATTACCGTTCACATGGCCTGACGCAAATTTAACCCGGTCGTTGGCGACCGTGTTGCCTACAGCACGCGAGATCGTCTGGCCCTTACTCTCGGACATCTCGCCCACACTCCTACACCCCTTGTACACACGTACAAGCTTCCCGATGCAAACTGAATGAGAACGCGGGCGCAGATGGCGGCCGCGTTAAATAGTTGAGGCTGACAACCCACTGTTCCATAGATAGGCTCGCCGGCTGGCGGCCTGGTTTACGCCCCCACACAGGATTCCTCAGGTTGGCAACCATAATCGAGGCTCGCCGGCTAGCATCCTCGAGTTTACAGCCTACGGTATTTTTGGCTCTGGCGGTTCTACCTGAAGTCACCCGCCAGAGCGCAAACTCCCGGAAGTTCAGGCTCAACCCTTCCTCCCCCGCAGCGTACTTTCACCGACCTAACGGTTCTGGCCCTCGTGTTAACGACGCCACAATAGCTCGGCGCCGGCTCTCGCCATCCAGCGGGGGAAGATCCCCGCCACCTCCCGAGCAACAACATGCCATACACGTATGGGACTAATGACCTTAGCAGTGGGCACGCCCGGAATCACAAGCAAGCAATCAATCACTCGCCACTTCATGCCCTAGAAGTTTGTAACATTCCTTCCGAGCCGCTGTGCGTGTGCTAGCGTGGGTGCGTGCGCGTGCGCAGGCCTTGTGGCGCCTGGGGAAGCGGGCGCCGCGCGTGAAGCCGCACGTGGACTGCGTGACGTCGCGGCCGCTGACGCGCCTGCCGGGCTTCATCGACGTGCACGTGCACCTGCGGGAGCCCGGCGCCACCCACAAGGAGGACTTCGCGTCGGGCACGGCGGCGGCGCTCGCCGGCGGCGTCACCATGGTGCTCGCCATGCCCAACACGGCGCCGCCCGTCACCGACCGCGCCACGCTCGCCATGGTCAAGCAGGTGAGTGGCACTTAAATACAAATAGGGTGACGGCAAAGACGTCGTTGTCCATGTTTTCCAAACGTGTAATATAACCTGGGCTCGGATTATGATGTCATCTTTTAATTGGTGCATTGTGGTAACTTGTTAATAAATGTTTATCGCGACATACAGATGAGAGTTATTGGGTCATTTTTGCCATTTTTTTTAATTTTTAGGTCTTTTTTACCGTTGTGTAATTTTTGTCATTTTTACGCATTTTGTTTCCTTTTCGGGTTTGTTAGGAATGTTTCATGAATTTACAATGACACACCAAAACATTTTTTTAATTATATCATCAGTTAATGACGAAATTCAGTACTGCTGTGGGCTCTGTTTATAGAACTCTCCAAATTACACTCATCTTCGGTAATTTTCTGGACCTTTCAAAATAGACGGTTGAAAGATCTGAACTAAGGATTACATTTCCTCCTAAACTGAAAGCTTTATATTAAATAAAATTTTGTATAAATACATTTCATTTGAAATTGTAATTTTCATTGAATAAATAATGTGTTTTACATACAAAGTTTTGAGTATTTTTAAAAAAGGGCATATTCCTCTTATTTTAAGTAATATTATACACCATATTTAAAGAATTTTTGGATTATCAGAATCCGAGCTCTGGTTATAACATATTATCTTTTGTGTTCTATGTTTTGTGCTCAGTTTTTTATGTTTTGTGCACGCATTGATGTTTTGTACTCTTATGGTTTTGCCTTCGATGTTCTGTTTGTGAATGAAAAAGTCTCATGATCACATTTTGTAAGAGTTAAAATATGAAATACCTAATGATTCCACTATCAGTTCGTGTTCAAAAGAAGCGAAAGCTTTTTAAAACCTTCCCTTATCGAGCAGACTATCTCTCTTCCGCGAAATGACCCCGATCCTCTGGTAGTTTTTTTAAGTCTTTCCTCGTATTACGCCCGCAGACGCTCGGTCAACGCACGTGCAGTAGACATAGAGCCTCCCCCTTCCTTCCGCAACCTTCGACGGCGAACTGTGGAAGCGCTCACCCCTTGAGATGCTCGTAAACTTGCAGGCTTTCAGGTTCACTTTTGTTACTTGTTCTTATTAGTTTTAGTTTTTGTCAGTTAAATATTATTTATAAATTAATAAATACCGCTACTGTCAAATTAAATTCTCGCTCGTGGATACGTTAATTTTTGAAGTTACCGCATGAGTTTTAAGAACATCGATGGTTTTGAGTCAAAGTATGATCGACATAATGTTTTAATGTTGTGCATGGATGTTTGTGAAGCATCGATGGTTTTTGTGTCCTTTGCGGGAGAGCGCGCACGCCTGTTTGCGCCCTCGCGGACAGGCAAAGCTGATCGCAGCTGCTGATCAGACTGGACGCTGAAGAACTCCAAAACGAAAGGGAAAAACGTGTCTTTGAACATTTCCCAGGAAGTCGGAGGAAATCAAATGCAGGAGAATACCCTTTTGTGCAACCGCATGGATTTTGTTGTTTGATTGAAATTAGCTTAGCATTTGTAATCTAATTATTTATTGATGAGACAATTTCCTAAGATAAGAGAATTGGCAGAAGTAGGCGGGTAGTATGACTGAATTAATTCCTTTCCCTGTCAATTACGGGCTTGTGCAGTCTGGTATATTCATCTTATTATCTTTTAATATTGGAGTTGTTTTTATTTGTTTTTTGCGCTTTTTACGGCGTAAAATTTTACGAAGTTAGTTTTATTCTACCTCTTTCCCATACGTTTCGAAAATCTTGTAAGCTGAAAACCTCACCTTTTAATATATCTGGGGATCCTCCATTAATTATGTGTTTAAAACGAAAATGCCTATTTGTTTGAATTTTTTACTTTATCGCATACTACTTGCATAGAGAAAGATATTTAATGTAGAAGCGAAAAACTGCGAATATTCTACAGAGAAAGTCATAGTGTCCCTAACACTGAAAAAGGGTATACTTCTCGTTCATATCTACCTATAGTAAATTACTTCCTTCAACACGTTTTGTAGTCAGAATCCACATTTTGTGGGTCTGTGATACGGAAAGATTGGTTTACGGCAAAACGTTCGTCCGTCGGTGAACGCTAGCGGCTAAACCGTAGACATGGATTTCATAAAAATTGATATTCCTCACTCGAACTGGCTGATCTCTCAGCTCCTTGAATTTGAAATGGATATTTTCATTTTTAGGGATACTTAACATGAAGCTCCAACGACATTTTCATAAATTTCCCAAAAATTTTTCATTTTTTTCTCAGAACAAAGTATACTTGTAAAAAGCATAACGCAGGTGCAATTTTCGTACAACACTGAATTTTAGAAAATTGCAAAAGTTACGAATAATGCGAGAAAGTATGTACTGTTGTAGAGCCAATAGTTTAAACCAATTAAATAGTTTAATTTTTATTAATCGTTCTTAAGATTTTAATTCAGAAAAAATATTTTTTAAGCATTCTAAGAGAAATTATAAGATCAATTATATGCTGCGCGTATTAGCTTCTTTCAAACTCTTTCCATCGTATGCACAATTTCCTTACGAACTCTTATTGATTTCTCAAGACTTCAGAATGTTTTCCAAGAACGGTAAGTAATTCCAAACTTTTCAACCAGAGACAGGCAGAGTTTACTGGATATTGGTGAATTGACTCCGTCGGATAAAAGCAAAGTGCTGCAAGAACTCTGTCGCAATCTGGAGAATGGCAACTGGAACAAAACGTATTTCTGGTGTGGTATAGGTAGCGAACTGCTCCTCAAGACCAAGTAATCGAGATATTCCCGAAGTTAAATTTGTAAAAGGCAATACTTTGAAGGAAGAATTGTTTTGAAGTTAACAAAGAATCTTAGAATTAATTTTCATTATGTGGCAATGGTGGTTACATCACAGTGCAGAGACTCCATGTGATCATCATTAAAAGGGTTTCCTGCAAACGGTTCGCGAAACAGCTAATATAGTGGAGAGGGGGGAAAAGTAAAAAATTGTGCCAATTGGCATTTCAAAGAGACGCGTAGTAAATCAAGGTGCCTGTAATTATGAGCTGAGAACATTTTCGCAACAGACGTGTATTTACTACTCTATTTCCCAACTGATACTTTGTTTAATTTATTGTGTCCACTCCCACTCTATGGAAGTTTCCCAAACCGAAATCGCTTGATGGAGATGAGCACCTGCCGAATCACGCTGCCATGCGATAACAATCGACGAAGCAGAATTCCCGAAAACTATTGAAGCGCGAACTACTATCGTCCGAAGCGCGGAGCATGGACTCGCCCATTTCAGAGAGGCAACATGACTCGGCAGAGAACGCTACATCTAAATAACAAAAAAAAAAAAAAAAAAAAAAAAAAAAAAAAAAAAAAAAAAAAAAAAAAAAAAAAAAAAAAAACATTTTACCTGGAGCTTTAAACGTGCGTTTCAAAGCCCCCAGTTGTGTTATGTATTGTTTGTTTTTACCATACATTATGCCATCTCGCATTCATGAATGTTGAGTCCCGGTGAAGAAACCCAGGCAGTGTGATCTGCTTGGTTTGTCTCCAGAAGTCGAAGATCCGACACCGCCGGGACGCGAAACTTTCGCTAGCATTCATAGAACTGGGAATTTCTATTCAGGAATTAACTTCAGAATTGCAAGGTCATATAAAAATGTTTTCTCAATGGAGCCCTTTTTTTTATTTTTAGAGCAATTACAAAGTACTTGTTTCAATCACTTTTATGTGAGTTTCATTGTTCTAAAATATTTGAGATTGTGTGCCAATCATTGTGTACATTTATTGTAAGTGTGTAACAGTCTTAATTTATATCTAGATAAAAGTAAGATGGTGGAGGTAATTGTAATACCAAATTAATTGAGGACGAATTGTATTCTTATCCTCGTTTCTGCTCGCAAATATTTGTATTATTGTATTCGTTATACCAAAACTGATACTTTCTAAATAAAATATGAAGGTTTCCTTAGGAGTTTTGTAAAAAGATAAATTTATTTAGATTCCAAAAATATATGAACCGTCTGTTTCTGAGATCGTTCATAAAATACTTTAGAGGACAGAAAGAAAGAGGGCAGAAAGAGGGCACAATTTTCGTATTTTGTCGATGTTTCTTACATTTTTTACTGAAAAATGATTTGGTCTTGCCGCTTGAAATTCGTTTTACTTAATAGCATTCTGAATTAAACATATCAAACAATATTGTTAATGCTGGAGACACAGGACTGTTTGAAATGAAAATTAGGAGGATACATTGAATTTAGGTTCATTTGTAGATATCGTATTTTCGTTATTTGAAAATGCCTAGCAGCTGGATCTCATCGATACTTTACGGATACTCTCGCGTTAAGCTTGAGACATTACGGCGCCACTTCTTGCTCTGGTACTTTGTGCATAGAGTAATTGAGTAATATTTATTTTATTTATTATAATTTTGGCCACTGAATTCATTTTTGAATTAAAAGGAGTAAAGTGGGTGTTAATTAAAGGGAAAGGGCGTGGATTCACGGTGTGTGCGTACACCTGAGGGGGTAGAAGATTTTTATTCCAAATTGTACGTAGAGGGGGATAGAGAGCGATTTTTGCCTACTTGTTTGTTGCAAGACCAAAACCGGTGTTTTGAACCTTTCAAGTTTAAATGTGTGTCCTTTTTACTGGTCAAAGAAATTGATAATAAAATAATTTTCGCAATTTATGGAAGGCTTTAGTGAAATTAAAATTGTTTTGCGTGTTTTTCAAAATTTCGAAATCACGAGTAGGGATTCTCGTCAGTAGGATTAAAGTCGATGAGGTAACGCGATTGCACTGAATGAAAATTGCAAGGAGCATGCTGTTTTATTTACACCCTTCTACGCACGGACACTGCCCCTTTTTCTTTAACATATTTTCTTTGTGCTGGTTTCCAGTCATACAGCTTTCAAATGATCGTATGGAATTGATCATATTATGTGGAAAATGGTATACATGATTCATTGCATTGCATTTATTAATTCTCTTCCTTAAAATTAATATTG